TTCTCCAACAAAGTCCATTGTACATGCGATAGCGATGGCCTCCAACCCACTAGCGATGGTCTCCAACCTACTAGGGATGGCCTCCAATCTACTAGCGATTGCCTGCAACCTACTAGTGCCTCCAACTACAGCGATGGCCTCCAATCTACTAGCGATGGCCTCCAACCCAATAGCGATGGCCTCCAACTTAATGCAATGCTCCAACAAAGTGCATTGTACATGCGATAGCGAGGGCCTCCAATCCACTAGCGGTGGCCTCCAACCTACTAGGGATTGCCTCCAACCCAATAGTGATGGCCTCCAACCTAATGCAATGCTCCAAAAAAGTGTATTGTACATGCGATAGTGATGGCCTCGATCCTACTAGCGATGGGGTCCAACCTAGTAGAACCCAATAGCGATGGCCTCCAACCTGCTGCAATGCTCCAACAAAGTGTATTGTACATGCGATAGTGATGGCCTCGATCCTACTAGCGATGCGTCCAACCTAGTAGAACCCAATAGCGATGGCCTCCAATCTAATGCAATTCTCCAGCAACGTGCATTGTTCAATATTGTACATGCTTTCAGATTAATTGACGCAGGCAATAGGCCCAACAGGCTAATGTGAGTTCTGGGCACAGACTCATTGTGTTTGATTGCGGCAATCAGCACTGACGGTGGTATTGGAATAACTTTGCCGGAACTAGTGGCAGCAGCCTTTCAAGTGGCCTTTTGAGAGTTCTTACGTGTATGAGTAACGTGCTGCTGCTATTTGTTTTTGTTTTGCCGGGGTATTTTTTTTCGTGGATCTATTCCATGAAAGGCTTGGTGCATTGTTTGTTTGAGTTTGTATATGTTTTCTCAAGTTTTAGCACTAATCATGACGTGGTTGCAAGGTCATCAACGTTGGTGACAACTTCTATTGGGGTGGCGTGGACTGTCACTGTGGCAACATGTATGCTCGCTGCGACACCAAGCAGTGGAAGTGGATCTATGAGGAGATGTGGAAGGCGTGCGCTTCGTGTGCTTCGAACATCCTTTCACAAAGGCCCACTGATACACTCGTTTCGAAGCACCCACCCACCTACGCTCCCTAGTGGCTGTGTTGGGCATAAACAAGGACATATATATATATATGTATATAAAGATGCATTAAAGGGTCCCTTCTCTTCTTTTTTCTTCGCTGTATTCTGTTTATAAAACAAACAGAATCTGACCCCAGTCACAACTCTTTTACTTTGAGACATTGCTGACAGGGTCCTGGCATCGATGGCAAGCAGTGGCTGGGTGTGCTGGGTAACCATGACTGGGGGGGCTGGCAGTTCAACAAAGGTTGGGTCAGCGACTCAGTTTGGGTGGGACTATGCAGAGATTTTCGACTACTTAATGTAGGTTTGGAGACACAGAAATTAGACTCCCAAACTCTCATGCACCCCAAACCAACCAAAGCCTAAGCTCAGGGCAAGCACCCAAATGGACTTGTTTTAGATCTCTCCTTCCGATTGAAGGGCAAAGATGAACACTTCCAATTGATATACAAAGCGTTAATTCTGCCTTATCAGGATCAGGTGATTGCGTACAGCTGGGGTGGACTGGCAGAGTCTACTGGCCGCTGGCTGCAGCCGTCCATATATTGGGCTGCCCCAGTCCGCATGGGCACCCAGGAGACAAGAGCACCAAGCATTGACTTTATTAAAAGCCCGCGGGGGGGGGTAGGCCGAAGAAGTAGCCAGTAGAAGAGGTAGCTACTAATAGCTACTAATAGCTACTAGTTAGCTTCTAGTAGCTGGACGCGAGCTCACGCTTCCTTGAAGAAGCGCTCGCACTAATGATTTTTTTCCTAGATTCCTAGATATTGTCACCCTTTTGCTTGAACTTTTTCAAAATCTCCGAGCAGCCAACGATCACAATAATACTCAATTTGTAGTCGCAAGCCAGCTGAACTAACTGGAATGATCTTCAACTGATTTGAACAAGCTAAGCTAAGATTGTTTGAGCATTCCTCGCGTTGCTAGTTTTTTGCTTGCTCTCTCAAATGCTTTTCGTTGCAGTCCTTTTTTGTTTGCCTTTACATTTGTTTCTTGAACCACCTGCTTTTCTGTTGTTTGAGTCCGCTGAACATAATGAGCCAAGCCAACTTACCCAAAGAAAGCCTAAGTCGTTTCCAGGGCACTCTATTATATACACCTCGAAGGTTAAGCACCAGCATTGCCACGCAGAATGGTCGTGAATTGTGACTGTCTAGTGCAAGTCAAAGCTTTAAGTTGTGTGGTTTCCGACAATAAATGCGCAATGCCAACATGCCATGCCACGAAACACATTCACACACACGCACACACTTGGATGGTTGCTCGCAAGAGCTAGGTTCAAAATGAAGTCCCACTTGACTTGAATGAACTGAATGGTGCAGGAACCGCAAGGCGAAGAAGTCCGTTCATTTGAAGGTGTTTTAACATGTTTTTT